TAGTTGACTGCACCCTTGAACTCCTGGGTGCAAGTGATCCTCCTGCCTCAGCTTTAATAGGAAATATTCATTGACATGCATGGGAGAGAACCACAGAGCGATTACCCCAACCCCTCAATGGGATACAGAAGTTTATCTGCCGTCTTGAGTTTATACAAAGATGGGGGCTTAAATAGTGGCAAGACAGGTTATGGATAGGGTGGAAGACGAAGCCTGGTTAACAAAGGCAGTCTTGTTATGTAATGACACCTCATAGGTAGCAGTCCTTGGAAAGAATAGACAGTAAATGTTTCTTTCAGACCTGTAAAGGTGTCAGACTCTCAGTTCATCTTTCCTAGATCCAGACAAGGGAGGGTCTCAGAGAAAGCCTAGCTACATCAATACAGATTTCCTCTATAGATGCCAATCTCTCCACAAAATCAGCTTTTGGTTATTCTATTTCCAAGCCATTCTGAACAGCCACCTTGAAATGTGTCAAATAAGTATATTTTGGGGTGAAATACTTTGGTTTTCTTCAAGTTCTTGGGCTGGGAAACGTCTTTCGGTGCATCTCTTCTCTCTAACCCCATCTAAAGCTTTCAGGGAACATGGATCCCCTCTCTTATCTCTGTTTAAGGACAACTGAGGAGCTCATAGCTAGGGAGTGAAATGCCAGTAGTGGTATTTCAGGCATCCGGCAGTGGCTAATGGAAGCCGAGTTTCCTTCTGGTGCCCCAGAGCACACTGTAAAGGAAGCTCTCAGCTCTAAGTGGAGAATCCTGGCCGGGTGCGTAAGGAGGGGACAAAAGCCTGTACCCCACACTGGACACCAGTTGCTTTTCGTGTTTCCTCATTTAATCCTCAAAACAACTCCTCAAGACAGAGTTTCTGATGCCCATCTTACAGATAAAGAAACAGAAGCTCAGAGAGAGCCATGAAGTTACATGAGACCCTCTACTTGAGGCCATCAGTGCAGTGTGGGAACTAGAGGCATGCTGGTGGTGGTTACTGATGCGCAAAGTCCCAGAGCTTCCTCGTCCTTGCTCCAGCGTACCCGGGAATCCAGCCGGTATTTGGACAGTTTTCCTTGAGTTTCCGTTCACCATATGAATTCCATCATGCCGCTCAGCCACAGGCAAAAGCTCCCCGACTCCCCATGAGAGTCCATCCCACGGAAAATGGGACACAAGGAACGGTCAGGAAAGACAGAGGCAGGATCCACACTGGACATCTTTGCTGTCGATCAAGGTTGCAGGTACCAGAGTCCTCCCTAAAGGAGAGACCTTCCCTCTCAGTGTGGCTCAGGGAGTGGGAGGTGGGGACAGGGGGAGGGACCTCCTCGAGGTCTCCTTTAGTTTGAGGATGTCTCTATTTCGGGAAAGAATTCCCAGGATGAGTGTCCCAGGGACGCTACAGAATGGTCCCCCGTAAAGGACCCAAGACAGGGCAGCCCTGCCTGGGCAGGAGTGGGGTGCAGAAAGCCCTTGGGGGAGCACAGCCACAGAGAAGAGGCCCAGGCCAGCCAAGACCGCGGAATGTCGGACCTGAGCCAGGGGGAGGTGGGACCGAGGGCTGCGCGCCCGGGCGAGCCGCCTGCAGCCTCGGCCAGGGGTCAGGGTCATGAGGGTTGGACGGAGGGGAGGGAGGAGGGTGGGATGGGAAGGGAAGACGCGGGAGGGCGCAGAAGGGCTTCCAGCCCCGAGATGGCCAGTCCACGTCGGGTGGGGAGGAGCCGGAGTTGCTGGAGGGGGCCCAGGAAGTGGGGGTGGGAGGAGGTGGGGACCGCCCGCGAGAAGAGCGGGAAGAGGCAGGCTGCGAGGCCAAGATTTCAGCTGCGGGACGGTCAGGGGAGACCTCCAGGCGCAAGGAAGGACGTGAGGAGGGGAAGCGGGCTGGGGCGGCCACCGGGCAGAGGGGCAGCTGCGCCGGCGGAATGAGGAACGCCTTTGCGCTAAGGCAACGGCCCTGGCAGCTCTTCACTGAGGGGCCTCGGTTTCCACATCTGTGGCTTTCGGGTCCCAGGACGGACGGGGCTCTCCGGGAGGGTCAGCCCCTCTGGGTGGCCCCAGTCATGCATCAGGGAACGGATCAGAAAGGCTGGGAGAGGGGTCGTGGGGAAGGCCCCAGAAAAAAAGAGGACGGAAGGAAGATTTTGCCTGAAGCAGGAAAGCTAAGGGCTGGGGGGTGAGACCCCCCCATTCCTAATGACTGGGGTGGGCTGGTGGCCACGGCAGCCCTGGCGCCGGGAGGGTTAGGCCTCCCGCGGCCTCCACCCAGCCGGGCCCTCCCACCTGTTTGGGTCCAGGCCCTTGCCCTTTCCCCAAGGCTGCCTAGGCCGGGAGGGTGGGGGCACCCCATGGGAGCAGGGGGATTCTAGAGGGAGAGGGAGTAGCGGTTGGGGAGAAGCTGAGCTGGGAAAGCAGAGAGGGGAAAGCAGAGAGGGGGTCCTGCCGGAGACCTAGGGAGAGACAGTGGGCCAGATGAGGGGTGGAGGGTGGGAGCGGGGAGAGGATTGATTCTCGGCATGGCAGGGAACTTTGCTAAAACTGCAGGCCCTAGGAAACAGCGCAGGCAGGGTGGAAGGTAAGGGACAGGACCAGGCAGACCCCAAGGCCAATTTGGACAAAGAGCCATTTCCCAGCTCCTTGTACCTCTGCCCAGGGTTCTGCTGGCCTGGCTCCCCAGGGCAGGGCATGGGAGGAGGTGGTTTGGGCTGGATCGGAGAACTGAGGGGCGCACACCCGCTTCGCAGGACCGGGGTGACACGGAAGCATGCGACGACTGCTGATCTTGCTGGCCCTGTGGCTGGGCGCGGTGGGCGTGGGCAGCACCGGGCTCACAGAAGCCCAGCAGCAGGGCCTGCAGGTGGCCCTGGAGGAATTCCACAAGCACCCCCCCGTGCAGTGGGCCTTCCAGAAGATCTGTGTGTACAGCGCTGAGGACATGGTGAGTAGCATGGCCCCTGCAGAAGGGAGGGTCGCACCTGGGAGACAGGCCCATTCCCAGGAAGCAGGACAGAAGTGCATGGGCTCTGAGTGCCCAGCCCTCTGGAGAAAGGCCCCAGTGTAGCCTGCTGGGAGGCTATCCTGACTGCGTGAGGGAGGCACGGGCACCAGGGCTTGCTCTGGATGCTCAGCTGGCCACTGGCCATCCTCTGCCTGCCTGTCCACAGCCCTTCCCAGCTGGAATATTTGTGAGGCTGGAATTTCAGCTCCAGCAGACAGACTGCCGGAAGGAGGACTGGAAGAAACCCCACTGCAAAGTCAAGCCCAATGGGGTGAGTGAAGGGGTATGAGAGTGACGAGCCTCCTGAGAGGTGGAATGGCTCAGCCTCAGCCCCAGGCTGTGAGGGTGGTCGAGCTGGGGCCTGGCAGGCAGGGAAAGGGTTTGGTTACCCCTGGACTTACCTTCATCATAGCAGGGCTCACCTCTGAGTTCCTCTCTCAAGCTTCAGGGCCTGGGTGGAAGGTGCCCGCTGTGGGGGTGTCTGGGGTGCCCTTGTAGACTAGCCAGGCTCTAGTCATCAGTCACGGTGGGGGCAAACCCACCACCGTGGGGGCGATGCCTGGGCTGGGACTACAGTGACTGTTCTAGTTCCCGCTCTGTGAGCACCACCTGGGCTCTATATTACAGGTTCTGTAAAGGCCCCAGTTCTCTCTGTCGGCTCAAGGAGGGCGCTGGATTATAGCAATGATTCACCAACCTCAAATCAAATCTTACAAGAAAATGTAAATAGAATAGGTGACAGTTGAGGCGCTCTGGAGGAATTGGGTGGGAAGAACCCATCGGAGGAGGATTCTTGCCTTTGCACTAGCACAGGCACACCCATCCCCCACACTCCTGCACACAAACCACAGACAACCCATCTGGGAAGGATTCCTGCCTGCACACACACGAAATTTCCATAGTTCGAAAGCTGCATGGGTCTGGCTTCCAACATTCTGGGTTGGACTGTGCCTGAAACCCCCTGGCCTGCATGACCCCTCACCCCTGGGCTCGAGGGCCTAGCTGGGAGCTGGTCCCATCATGGGCAGCCCTGGCTCCCACCCTCATGATGCCCAGGCCTCCCTCACCCCTCTCCTCTGCTCACCCTTTGCTCCCCTCCCCAGAGGAAGCGGAAATGCCTGGCCTGCATCAAACTGGGCTTTGAGAATGAGGTTCTGGGCCGGATGATCCACTGCCCCACAAAGACACAGGTTCTGCGGGTAAGAAGGGGCAAAGCTGCAGAGAGGTTGGGACGGGTCTGGGAAGATGGATGGAATCTCAGACTACGGGCCAGTTACAAGACGGAAGTTTGGCCGGATGGGGAGAGAGGGAAGTGGAGGCTAGAAGGTGCTATGCCTGGTCCGGACATTCTCCAGGGGATATAGAGCTGGTCCCTGCCCAGGATGCTGGCAACCCTCCACCAGCACTGCCTGCCCCACTCTCCTGGACACTGCCCACCCCTCCCACACTGCCTGAACAGTTGTGGGTACTGGCAGGAGCCTAAGGAATACCAGGAGAACCAGTGCATCAAGGTGCAGCGGGCTGGCGAGGACCCCAACAGCTTCGGCTTCCCTGGAAATGCTGCTCTTCTCCGTGGGCCTGCCCAGCACTGGTAGGCACCAGGGGCAAGGGGCACTGTGTGGATGGGGCTAGCCCTGGGAATGCTAGGGGGCTGGGCTGGGCTTCGGGAGCCTGGGAGGAAAGCTGGGACTGGGGCCAAAGCAGCCTCCCTCACCCTCAAACCCGCTTCCCCTTTTGTCTAGAGCTGCGTGGCGCCTACAGGACCACTGCCAGTGCTAACCAGTGGAAGACCCCAGCTCCCAGAGAGAAGACCCCATTCTATCCCCAGCCATGATAATAAAGCTGCTCTCCCAGCTGCCTCTTGGCTCCTTGCATTGCATGCCTTCCTCCTTGGAGGCGGCCAGAGAAGGCAGGGGGACAGGACCCTTCCTGTGAGACCCCAGGAAGCCACGGGCAGGGTGAGGAGGGCCTGTGCTCCAGAGGCAGAGATGTCCCCATGAAATGCCAGGCAGGGATGCAAATGAAAACAGGAGCATTTAATAGATGTGCAGGCGAGAACAGGCAGAGAAGGTGCCCAGGAAATACAGGACCAGCCTGGAGAGGCACATTTGCAAGGCGGGAGAGCTCTGCTTCCAGGAGTGCGCTGGCCACTCAGCCTGCCTACTCTCCCAGCAGCTGGGAGTGGAGGCTGGCCCATCCCTACCTTTCTCACCTGTAGCCTCAGGAGGAAGTAATTCCTTCCACTAAGTCTCAGGCTGGAGCAGCCCGAAGTGGCAGCAGCTGTGGACACAGGCTCACAGGTGGTAGGGGCCTTTACACCTTTCAAGGCCCCTCAGTGCGTCCTTGCAGCACGTGGAGGGAGGGTGGGGAGGGGCGTCCCTCAGGACAGGGATAAAGGAATAGCCCAGCAGGCAGGGCCAGTGGCCAGTGTGAAGAAACCACGACGAGTGTGGAGGCAGGGAGGGGAGCTGTGGGCAGCAAGGTCACCTGGCTGTCCTGGGCCACAGCTGCATTCAGAAGACAAAGGAAGAGGTGGGGCCCACGGAGCCGAGTGCCTGCTCGGCCTGGGCCAGGCTGTCGCTGGCCTGGCGGTCCAGGTCCCGGCACTCCTGCAGCGTGTCCTGGAACTGCCTGCAGGCCTCCTCCAGGATGGAGCCACTCCGGCTGGGCCAGGACTCCCAGTAGCCCGGCTCCACCCAGGGCTGGGCCTCAGTGGCTCTGGGGCCTGGACTGGAACTGGGACGTAAGGAGCTGTCCAGGTCCCGGCACAGCTGGTAGAACTCACTACCCCGCCCCATCACACGCTCACCATCGATGACTTTCAGGCCAGGCAGCAGCTCCCGGACTGCAGCCCAGTAGGAGGGGCTGGCACAGAGTGGGTTGCTGAGCCGGGTCAAAGGGTCTCGGAGCCGCAGGTACTCAAGGCACGGCAGCCCAGCCAGACACTGCAGTTGGCCCGGGGTGGCCAGTAGGTTGCCCGAGGCATTGAGACTCTGCAGGTTCTCACAGGCGGCCAGTGGCTCCAGGCCCGTCAGCCGATTGTTGGAGACATTGAGCACGGCCAGCTGGCGCAAGGAGGCCAGTGGGCCCAGGTGGGTGAGCGCGTTCCCGGATAGGTCCAGCCACTCCAGGCCCAGGCACTCTCCCAGGCAGCCCAGGTCGGCCAGCCCCAAGCCACGCAGCTTCAGCAGCAGGATGGACTCCAGGGAGAACTCGCCTGTGCGTGACTTCAGCAGCTGGGGTGTGATTCGCAGCCCACCAGCCTCTCCTGGCTTCTCACCTGAAGGCTCCATGAGATGGAAGTCGGTTGGGATGGCCTGGGCCCTGGCAGGACTGTCACAGGGTTCCACTGGGGATCAGCCGGTGCTCGCCCCGAAGCAGGCACCTTCCACTCTCCCCGGGGCCAGTGCCAGGAGACCTGGTTCTGATGCCCTGCTCAAAGCCAGCCAGTCCCTGAAGAGAGACAAATAGTCAGCAGGCAGCAGTTTGTGTCCCATGCAGCAGGTGACCGCAGGGAGTGACCCCGTTTTTACCATGAGAACCAACAATCTCGGCCAGGCAAGACCTAAAGACCAAAGTCTGGGACACAGACCACAAAAGCCAACCCAAGGGGGTCAGCCCAGACTGGCACCAGCTGGTCAGGGCCATGCTGGATGGATTTGGGCCTAATGTTACCAGTTCTTTCTGTCAAATGCAGAGTAGTGGCAAAACATCATTATTTTACTTTTTCAGTAACCACTCACAATCTGTCCTTATTAATTTTGGGGTGTTTCTTTTTTAAGCAGTTATTTTTGAATAGACAATAGGTAACCACCATCACGAGTTTCTTTTGTTTTCTTCCTGGGATAACCAATGTATATGCACGCAAATAGAAGTAGACAGTGCCTTGTCTGCGTCACTCAGTATTACTACGATTCTTTCTAAGAGCAATTAATTCAAACTTATTTCCAGATTTGGGCCAACTGGTGCCTCTTGTTGGAGCTGTAGACCCTAAGAAGTTGACCTTTTGTCCTAAAGGACGAAACTGAGGTCAAGGTAGCAAATGGACAGGGAAGGCTGGGGTAAGTGGCCTGGTCAGGCCCCACACCCTTGCCCCCCACCACCTCACTGCCCGCCAAAGCAAGCTCTTCTGCTCTGGCCTCAACTGGACAGAGATCAACAAACAGCACCGGTAAATGTGCCAAACAGCATGGTGCCAGCTTGCTGTTTAAAAAAGAATTAAAATAAAAAAGAATTTAAAATAACTGTTTAAAAAAGAAACACCCCTGGCCGGGCGCGGTGGCTCAAGCCTGTAATCTCAGCACTTTGGGAGGCCGAGGCAGGTGGATCACGAGGTCAAGAGATCAAGACCATCCTGGGCAACATGGTGAAACCCCGTCTCTACTAAAAATACAAAAAATTAGCTGGGCATGGTGGCGCGTGCCTGTAATCCCAGCTACTC